CTCCTTCCAATAAGCCAAAACCTTTCGGAAACACAAACTTTTTCGGCATCAAATACCAGTACCCTTCGGAATTGTTCCAAATTGGAATGCCACATTTTAGTTTGGAAGGCGTTTTTTTTATTGTACCTTACTTCTGTGGATTAAAAACGCCTACCACAATGACCCCCACAATAGCTGAATGTTTCTTAAAAACAACGAGTGGCCAATGCTGCAGCATACCTTTCAGCTACGGAGGAGTGACATACCACTCTTGTACTACAGCTGATTACCACAGACTGTGGTGTTCACTGGACGCTTCCTATACGGGAAACTGGGGAGATTGTGGTTAGTATTAGATTAGTGTTTTAATTAACTAAACATGCACTTAAGAGTGTATGTCTGTAAGAATCAAACATAATCGCCCAATAAGGTTAAAAAATGGAAAAATCTGAATTACCCGAACTCTGACCAGAGGTTTATAGATCGCTCCGTGGTTCATTTGTCAAGTAATTTGATTTTTTTCGTGCAAAAGAACGAAAACCACTTTCAGTACGAGATATAATAAAATCCAACTTGAAAATTAGTAATTTTTAAGCGAATTGATTGCCTTAAGTGTAAAACCAAAGGACATTCACTTATTATCAACGTCTTCTAAATATTTTCGAGAATTTATTTTACTGTTCCTATGAAAATTAAAAAAAAAAAAGAAAATAAAAATTGACACAGAGAGAGACTCAAAAGAAATCGGTAGTGTTTCTGTATTAAACTTTCAAGCTAAATTGATAAGGCAGGGGAGCTAGTCTCAAATTATCAGTTTAATTGCGTGATTTAAATTTGTCTTGTCTTTTGCGACAAAACAAATTTAATTGGTTTCACTTGTTCTAAAAGTCTATCCAAAGATTTCTTGAGGAAAAAAATTGTGATGTGAACAAAAAGCGATTTTGTTACGATATTTTAAAGTGTAGATATTTTTGAGACACATCCACGCTCCTGAAAAGTTCATGTATTGCAGCTGGAACCATTTTTTTTTTTCTGGGAAGTCTTTTGGGCGATGTTGAGATTCAAATGAAAAAGTTAAAGAAGAAAAGTCTACGGCCACTTCAAGACTGCGACAAAAATATAACCCAGCAAATTGATTGACAATTTATAAAGAAACTTTTGTTTAATAGCTAATAATTCTTTTTCCTTACTTTTTTTTAGCATGATACCTTAACAAGTGGCTACATGACGAGGATACGAAATACGAAGTTAGAGATTACGCGGAGAAAGACATCAGGCTAACAGTAACTGTCTGAAGCATTACCGAGGAAATTATAGTTTTAAACAAAAATACAAAGTTTGCCAGTTGTGCATTTCAATATTGTGGTTTTGTTCGTTTTCCGAGCCATTGTATACTGTCGTAGTCGCATCTCATTTGTCTGGGTGTCCCATGTTCCCACAGCATTTCTCGTTCTCCCAAACTTCCACTCGTGTTTCTATAACTCGATAGAAACACGGTACATGTTTTCTATTTCTTAATTATTATATGATATGGCTGTCTCATAAGGACTGGGAACTTCCGAATTCACGAATTTGATTGGCTGAAATCGATATTGAAAACGCTCTGAATTTTCCCATCTGGATCAGTAATGTTTTGCCGTGAAATAGTTGCAAACTAAAATGCAAAAATATTGACTATTCTCTTCTAATATTTATTTATGGGAGTGGCAAAAAGCCTGATGAGAAAAGAAAAGTAAAGAGGACGACCAAACTTTGGGAAAATTAAATTCAGCTCATCGTCGTTCGCAAGCAAAATGTCCGCTAGTACAAGAAAGTTACATTAAACGAATTAAATTTTTCTAAGTTGCCGTATAATAAACATCTTATTAACCGAGTTTAGTCGGTCTGTATGGGAGAATCTTGACCCGGTCAAGACTCTTCATACAGACTTTCTGCTCAGTTAATAAGAGCTAAACGATAGTAGATTAACAAATAATATAACATCTCTTTCAAATTACCTTATTAAGAAAGGGAAAATGACCCATTTTACCTGAGGCAATTAAATAGAAAGTTCTAATTGTGTAGTGCTAAAATCCAATTACACAAAAAACATACCGCCAGCATAAATTAAGTTACCCGTTCGAAAATCGTTTAGGTTATAGTAAGCGTTACCACGATGTTAAGTAACTTAATAAAAGATTGCGTGCTACAAGAAGTCCCATTTACGAAAAGTCAGTTCAAAAAGTAAATAAATAAATAAATAAATAAATAAATAAATAAACAAATAAATAAATAAGAATAAAAATAAAATAAAAAGAGCGCGGGTTAGTCTTTCCATTTATCAGTTAATGCGTCCATCACACATCTAAACAAAAGTTCTATAACCAGCACGAAATTAACTGATTGATTTGTCGTCTTAAATTAAAAGGCTATTGTCTAATCGCAGTCACAAAAATAAGTTTGAATGATTTAAACACTGTAAGCCACGCTTTTGTCGATATTATGTTCACGTCCTTTAACAAGAAACATCTTCTTCCAGGCCATGTCGTCTCTTTTGGGCACATTATGTGTAACCTTGCTGGTTCCATGTCAAATACTCAAGAGAACCTTCGCTCAAGGTTTGATCAGTTTGCAATAGTTTCATTTGGTTGAATTCAGCTGTTTCGAGAACGTTTGTTGAACAAAACCGTGTAAAACGTACGCGACAATGCCGAAAAAATTACTGGTAGTGTAAGTTTTACATGATCAAAGTTCACTATGTTTCAGTCTGATAGAAAAAAAATTCAGTAATACTTGTATCTGTGATTTTTCCTTCTTTGGTGCCGAAATACCGTGTACTTCGATCAAATAACAGTAAACCACTTTTACCCATATCTTTCAGTCATGTCGCAAACGCTCTAAAGCTTCGGCAGGACAAACCTCCTCAAGACAGCAGTATATACTTTTATCTTTATGTTTGTAACCTTTACTTTTTCAATAATATAGTATTTTCGTGAAATATTGAATTGAGTTTTCTCAGAATTGTTATTTTATTCTATTTTTTTTTTTACTCGCCGGGCATAAAGACAAAGTTTACTGGCAGAATTAACTGACTATAAAATATATAATTAACGTACATTCTATGTGATGCTGTACGTAAAATTTAGCGAGAAATTTCACCGTAAGAAAATAATTTATCCCATGAAATTTGTCAATAACAACTTTTTTAGATCACTGTCGTCAGTTGCAGTTCAGAGCCGAACAAGTGTTTAACGGCAGACGTCTAATGAATCACGTGATACATAAAACCGACGTTATATTAGAGGAAATCTGTGAGACGTTATGTTACATGGAACCAAACTGTGTCAGCTATAATATCATGACAAACGATGAGACAGGAAAACATAAATGTGAATTGAATAATGTTACTCATGAAGGGCACGAGA